ATGTGCTTCCCATTGCCACCCACAGCAGGGGCCCCAGACCCACGGGCTCCAGGGGGCAATTTTTAAACTTCTTTTTCAATTTAAAAATTAAAATCAAAGCACCATCTGTTATGTGAATATGCCGTGTCAGGGAAATGAGCGTGATCGATGGCCTGGATCTTGTTTAGACTGCTAAGTCTGTCAAAGCTTTGATCAAGGGCTTAGCATTTGTCCTTGGGGACGCGGGGACTGCAGTGAGTCAGGGGCCGGGAGGTGTGAATATTTCTATTTTCTATGTGGTTTACATCTTTATTTGGCAAGACCGTGGACCGACACGTTGTGTGGTATCTCATAAACAGTGCTGGCCCCCCAAAGACAGCCCTGTCTGCTAAACCAAGTTATTCATTTGCATCAAGCCCCAGGAAACTGGGTGCTTAATTATTGTTGATGGAGCACGTGAGGCTGTTTTGGAGAAGGAGAAAGACTCTAGGGACAGAGTGTATCTGTTCATCTGCACTCGATGAGCTGGATGAAATGACCGCTCAGAGCTTCCCTTGGGCTGTCATGGCAAGTTGTGCAAATGGCTTAGGTATCCACCATCCTGAGCTCCATACCCTCACCAGCCACCATTCACTGCATCCCCAAGCCAGACTCAGCTGTGACCCAGCTCTACAGATAACCGGGCACCTCTGAGCTAGAATGGGTTCTGGCTGTGGCTTGGGGTTTGCTCAGAGGCCCAGACGTGCTAGGAATGTGCATGTGCCCAGATCCTGAAGAGGGTGCCCTGCCCGAGACTCATAGAAAATGCTGTGACACTCCAGTCGCTCCCCGGGAAGATGGTAAGAAAACTACTGTCAACTAACACATTTCTGATCGATTCAGGCACGTAGTAAGAATTGTTGAATGTCAGTTTTTTCCCTACACTTCAAGTTCTATATATCTAGTGTTAAAGGGTACTATCGTTCATGCTTCATCACTGTCTGATGAAGTAATTATGTTTGCTAAGGCCGTCAGTAAGCCTCATGTCTGAGATGAAGGCTTTGGTCTCTTTTGACGGGATTAAAGTTTTCCTCCATCTATTAGAAAATTCTAAATAATCTTGCAATGCTATCTAAAGACATCTAGAGGCTGTGCTTTCATTGTTCTAAATTAACTGCACAGTCCTTTACCCACTGTCAACTGCCTTTGAGTTTCGCTAACACTGAAGTTTGTGTCCGTCATTCTAACGTCGTCTTTGCAAACCCTCACTCACTTCCAGTTGTGTGGTAGGGGCTGAATGATTCTACCTATGAGGAAAAATTGTACCCTCCATTTTCTTGGTGCTTCAGAATTTATGAACAGGTCCAAAATGGGATCTCGTTTCTGTATGTCAAGAACACAGAAGCAGGCAACACAGCAGGGAGTACTGCCTGCATGTGACAGGCGTGGAAACGGGGGCTCACCCCAAAAGGCTAAGCAGGAAGTGGAGTGGTATAGTCAGGCCTTGAGCCCCAGCTTCTGCCTCCAGAGCCCCCGTTCTTTTCGTCGCCCCATCCTCACTTCACCCTTGACCCTGGCCTAGAGTGACAGCAGACGTGGGCAACTGGAGAGGAGACGTGGACAGATGCTCCCCGAAAAAGAATAATTCAAAATGCGTGTCCTGGTGATGACGGGACTGTAGCCCATCCTCAGATAGGAAAACAGTGCATGTAATGCAGAAGTGTTTTGATAACTGACCAAAACTGTCTCCAAGGTTGGAACGTGTGTCCTCTGAAGCAGCACAGGACAGTAAGTCCGGAATCTTAAGAGAAAAATGCACGGCTGGGCCAGAGGGGTGGGCAAAGGAAAAGCCTCAAGTGCCACCCCCGTTCTTCTCCTCCGCCCCCTCCCCAGCCAGCGTCAGGGTAGACGCCTTCCTAGGAGCCACTTGGGAGTCCCCAACCCAGCTTACAATGACTTTCTTGATGCTTTTGGGTGAGCACATTTTAAAATCAATCCAAAGTGTCTTCTCCTGAAGAGTAAATTCTACTCATCTCTGTAGTTTCAGGCCCAGGACCCCCTTGTCCAGGAAGTCGCTCAGCAGCCTTTCACTGGAACGGAAGTCTGTTCATCCTTGCCACTCCTCTCATGCTCAGTGCCTTCCTTTTGCATGCTAGACGGGCAGGGTGGCCCCCAGCTTGTTTCTCAGCAGAAGAGACATGGTCTAGGGCAAGGTCACAGGCTGGCAGGTCACACAGCCCTGGGATGGCTGCCACTCAGTGTCACCAGCCCCGGGACCTCAAGTCTCAGCAGGGCTCCCCGACGAACCACATGTCAAAGAGGGGCTTGCCCAGCTGTGTCTGGACTTAGTTTTACAAAATAAGAACATGAATTAATTTATTTTTAATATCTATTCTTGATCACAAGTGTTGCTTGGATATAAAACAGGGGACAAGTCTCCCTTTCAGATGCACAACAAACGCACATGAAAAGCCATGAGGGAAAATGACCTCAGCTCTCGAGACTCGTGAACATCTCGGCGATCTCGCCCTCCCAGGGAAACCTGTGATTCTTCTTTCTCAGACTTGAAGCAGAACTGACAGCCGTGTGTGTTCTCTCTGTGTGAAGTTGGGCTTCCCCCCCCCCAAGTCAAGGATCTTTTCCCAGGTTCAGCTATTTCCTTAATGAAATTAATCTTTCTCATGAAATGCTTTTGTGCAGAAAGATGGGGCTGCCTGGGGTCTGTATGTTCCTCCTGGAATGCTTCTGTCCGAGGAGAATTTTAGATAGAGGATGCACCCTTATCCAGCGGGGCAGAGTTAGACTTTCTGGGGCCTTAGACTTGCTTGGTGCAGTTCTGGGAGAGATTTGTGTGTGTGTCTGTGCACTTAGGCTTGCCTCGCATTTGGAGGTGAAAGAAGTTCCTGAGCATTCACACTGTTGCCTTAGCGTACTTCCTGAGTTTTGCATGTTATGGAAGGAAAGAAAACAGAGGGCAGTTCTCCCCAGCCGAGGCCCAGGCAAGTGGCTGTGGCCTTGCGTGACTGCCCTGAGGGCGTCCACCCAGCCCTAGGACCCGCAGGCCTGCAGCTCACAGTTCTGGCAGAGCTCTTGAAGTCTGGGAAGCCCCAGAATCGTGACCATCTGCCAGACGAATCCTCGGGCAGCATACGTCTGTAAAACACACATTCAGAACAGAAGCTGTCCTTCATAAAGCTTTCGTCTCTAGACCTTCCACATAACTCTGCTCCTACATGCAGGCCAGGGCTGGGACCGTGGACCACACCAACAGCCCAGCTACCTCAGGCCGATGAGCTAGTGGGTCCTGTGAAAAGGACTAAAGGGGAGTTTAGGTAGAGGTCCGACAGCCGTGGGGCTGGCCCAGCTTGGAACAGGAAGATGGCCTCAGGAAGCGGCAGCTGCAGATGAATCCATCTGGGGTGCAGAGGAGGTAAAGACAAGAATTGCAAAGGAGCTGAGACACTGTAGGAGAGGCAGAAAGTTAAATGTGCAGGAACTGAAGCTTCCGTACTGAGTTCAAGTCTGGCACTGCCACATATCAGCTGTTGCTTCACCACTCTGCTTCTGTTATCTAGTCTGTAAAACAGGGGTGGTGATAGCACCTCTTCACAGGGTGCTGTGAGTAGCATTTTAGTGGAGTAGTCCGCATTAGATAAGAACAATGCTGTAACGGTGGGAAATTGTAACCCACCCCACCATTCTTTTGACATTGCTTCTGTAAGTGCTGACTCTGACAAGTCGCTTGTAGGTGAACAGCGTGTTGGTATAGGAATCCTAGGAACTAGTTGCAGAAGATGCAGACTCCGACCTTCAGGCTCTGAGAGATTTGCTGACCTTCAGTCATGGGACCAGGCTGACGTGGAGCCAGGATGACTAAGCCAGGATGATGCACCCTGGACACCACTGTCCTTATGGGAACGAACTGTGCTCATCTGCACATACAGAACTTCTCGGCCCCCTCCCTTGGTCTCTTAGTTCTGTTCTTGTCTCTCTCCTTATAAAAACCTCTGCCTTCCCTGAGATGTGGAGATGGGCTTTGAGACGCGAGTTCCCCATCTTCCAGATTGCTGGCATCTGAAAATAAACCGCTTTCCTTTACATCATTGCCTGCGTCTCCAGTGCCGGCTTTCACAGCGGCAGGCAGCCGGACCTGCATTCAGTTCCAGGACCCAGCACAGAGCACTCATTACGCGGCTGTTAGTGGTCGTTATTACTGCTCCCTTTACTACGCTGTGACAATGGGGATGATGATATCATCTTTACTGTAATACCATTCCTAAGGACCAGATCTTGAGTATAAAGTTATAATAGCTTTTGCTAAATTTAAATGCTACTTCATCACATCCTTGCTTGCTAGTTGTCTAGTTTTTGGATCATCAGAGATACATTTTTTCTCTATATAGTGAAAGCACCTATTTGTAAGAATGACTACTTGATACCTTTAAAATGTTTTGATGATAACACCAGATGGGTTCAGATAAAACCGTCCTTCTCACAGGCCTGTCTCGCTCTCGGATGGCTCGTTTTGTAGTTCCTTACTCTCCTGGGATCCATCCTACCAGCTGATCAGCTACTATTTTTGATTTAGAGTTCAAGTTGGAATCTTTTTTTTTAAATCTTTTTAAAAAGATTTTATTTATTTGTTTTTAGAGAGGGAAGGGAGGGAGAAAGAGAGAAAGAGAGAAGCATCAATGTGCGGTTGCTGGGGGTCACGACCTGCAACCCAGGCATGTACCCTGACTGGGAATCGAACCTGTGACACTTTGGTTCGCAGCCCGCGCTCAATCCACTGAGCTACGCCAGCCAGGGTTTCAAGTTGGAATCTTAATGACGTTCTGCAGCTCCCCTTGTGTGTGGATGGGCTGAGCTCTCATGAGGAGCACTGAGACGCCTCCAGGGCCAGTGGTGTGTGGGGTGGGGGACGGGGCAGGCAGGGGACAGAGAGCCCGGGCAGGTTCCCGGTGCTCTGAGCCGGATGTGGGTGTGTCTGGGTGCAAGCAGACATTGAAGGCCGGTCCCTTCCCTTGTTGTTTCTTTCTTAGACGACTACGCGCAGCTGTGCAACATCCCCGTCACAGGACGCCGGCGGCCGTACGGACGGGACGCCTTGGTCGACTTCAGCGAACAGTACTCTCCAGAAGCTGACCCCTACTTCATTCAGGACCGTAAGCGAACATTTCTGGTTACTCTGAAGCTCAGCTGTGGTTAAAGATTGGCCAGCGGTTCTCACGATGTAGTCCTGGGAACGTGTGAGAAATGCAGATAGATTTTCAGGCTGCATGCTAGGCCTGCTGAATCAGAAACTTGGGGGTGCCACTGGCCCTCAAGGAAACCCATACACATCTCACGTTTGAGAACCGTTGGTAGGGGTGCTGTTATCTTTACTGTCTTTAAAGTAAATTACCTTACGGCAATAATTTTCAACATAAAATCATTTAAAAATTTTTTATGGATTTTTAGAGACACAGAGGATGGGGGGAGGAGAGACAGAGACAGACAGAAACATCGATTCATTGTTCCACTTGTTTATGCATTCATTGGTTGGTTCTCTTATGTGCTCTGACCAAGGATAGAACCTGCAACTTTGGTGTATCAGGGAGGCGCTCTAACCAACTTAACTACCCGGCCAGGGCAACAAAACCATTTTTACCCATTAAATGGTTATCTAGTTTGCAGGTTTTCCTGAATGCTCAGTTAGAACTATAGCCTCTTCTTCACACAGGGAAACAACAAAGGTTAACTGCTCCTACTTGCTCTTAAAAGTATTCTAGAGTGGGAGGTCAAAAAATAGCTCGCCTGGCCAGAGACCGATGTTTAGAATCCACTTGTGAGGGCGTGCCTTAGGTAGGCCATGACGTGTGCCAGCTTTTCCTGGGTTCGTGAGCAGGGTTTTCTTGTGGGAAGTGGCGTGTGAGGACCTCACTCCCTTTTAGAAAGCAACTGTCTGACAGCGTGCAGCCCAGCAGCCTGGGGGAGAAGGCCACACAAACTCCATGTTCCAGTGGGGATACCAGAGCTTTCATTGCAGACCAAGTACCTGAAGGCTCGGAAACAGACGGTACAAGTGAAATGCCAGTAGATGGCAGGTGTGCCGCTTCAAGAATGAGAACAGGGAGACAGGGGTCCCAGCTGCCTCTTCCGAGTCTTACAGAGGGGCCCTTCCTGCAGGGGGAGTCCCCGTGGACCAGGGAGTGGGGGCGAGGGGACTTTGGACAGACCGCTGAATTACAGAATTCAATGGGGCTTTTTCTTTCTTCGGGCCCCGGCACCTGCACTGTCAAACTAGGCGTGACCTACTTACTTCCTGAGGGGCAGCACAGGCTTTGTAGGTGCACTTGGATTTACTTCAGTGCTGAGTCGAAGAGTTTTTTCCTTCTTCCCTTTTCCTCTTCCCTTCTCCTTCCTCTTTCTCTCTCCCCGTTCCCTTTCTTCTTTCTTCCCTTCCTTCCTTCTGTTTTTTTGAAGGGGGCGCTGTATAGCTCATCCACAAAGAGTGTGTTAAAATTTACGTGAACACAGCGCCTTATGAACCCAGCGAGGCTGATTGACACACACAGGTGTAACCCCCACCCAGGCCTTGAGCACGCCTGCACCCAGAAGCCTGGGTGCCCTTTCCTTGCCCACTCCCTGCAAGAGCAGCCCCCATCCCGGCTCCTGACACCTTAGATTGTTTTAAACCACCGACGCATAACCGTGGGCGACCTTGTGAAATGTGCCTGAAGGCGCTAACAGCTGTTAGAGCCTGCGCTTACGGTTTCTACACTTCTCTGTGTTTATGTTATAGGTCGATAAACATTTACCTTAAAAAGACAGAGAAAGGAAAAAAAGGAGGAGAAATATTGAGGTTGAGAGAAAGCCAGCTTACCTGGCCCATAAATCCAGAATACCAGCTCAAGTCTGTGTGCAGCTCGACATATACCCACAGCTTACGCATGCAGCATAGTTCAGATGTCAGGAATTTTGAAGTTGAAATGTTCTGGCTTATGTACCTTCTTTTTTTTAATGCTGGCATTGCCTTAAGACTCCTTTTAAATTCGCTACAAATGTTAAGAAAGAAACAAGTTGTTATCACATCAATTTCCTACTTAGCAGCAGAGGAAGTGGAGATGCAGTTCCAAGACCTCCAGCCTGGACTTTGTCAGGGCCTTTAAATTCGGTGCAAGTTAGGAGGAGAAGTCCCTCCTCCTCCTCAGACCGGGAGCGAGGGCTCCCTGGCCCTGCTGGAGAAATGGTGATACTGAGCAGAGAGTAACACAGAGGGGAGGCTAAGTGTTCTTCCCACCTTTCCGATTCACCGGCTCCTGCCTTCTGGTTACTTCAGAGTATTAGCTGATGGTTGATGGTGCCTGTACTTAGAGTGATGTCTGAAAAACTGGAATCTCCCACAGCAGAGACCCACTCTTTCTCCTCAAAGGACCAGACAGTAAAAGTTTTAGGCTTTGCAGCCATGTTGTCTCCATTGTAGCTACTCAGCTCTGCCAGGCTTACATCAGTGAGTGGGTACGACCGTGTCCCACTGAAGGTTCATTGACCAAAATCGTCAGCAGGCCAGATTCGGAGCAGCGGCTGCACTGCGCCGAGTCCCGTGGAAGTATTTGGGGGAGTCTCCTCGGTGTCTGTATAGGAGCTTAAAATTTAATTTCACAGTTTGCCTTTTTTTTTTATCTCCACCCTGGGACATATTTATTGATTTTAGAGAGTGAGAGAGAGAAGCATCAGTCAGTTGCCTCTTCTGCACGCCCTGGCCAGGGACCGAACCCACACCCTCGGCCTGTGCCCTGACCGGTAATCAAACCTGCGATCTTTTGGTTTATGAGATGACACTCCAACCAACTGAACCACACTGGCCAGGGCTAATTTCAAGTGTAAATTCATATAATAAAAAATAATTTTACTAGATATAGAGTTGAAATGATGTTGCTGTGGTATCTGGAATTTGACTTTATTTTCTTAAGTCAGCATTTATCAGACTGCCTTTGGGGATCAGCTGACATATTCTCGATGACCTGTAGTATTTTTTTTCCTTTTCAATTTTAAAAAGGGCTTGCCACGGATGTGTTCACTAAATTTTTAAAATCACCAAGTTAGACTTTGCAGCCCTGCATAAGCAATGATATTTTGCTGCCCCCTGCAGTTCCACTGGAGAATTACTTCAAAGGCCTAATAGGTCCACATTTTAATTTTTTTTCTTAAACTATGTTCAATTACTGTTTACATTCAGTATTATTTCGTATTGTATTAGTTTCAAATGTACAGCAAAGTGGTTCTAATCCCATGCACTATACAGCCTGGCCCATACACAGTTACCACGGTATCATTGACCATGTTCCCAAAGCTGTATAATCTGTGCTTCTGTAACTCCAGTTTGCTCTCCTTCATCCCGCCACCACTGTCACCCAGCCCCCTAACCCTCCTCCCCTCATTTTCATTTTTTTCAAATCGAATACATGGTGAGTTTCGGCAGGTGGGGAGGGGGGAGGGGCCACATCAACAGTGTGTTTGATTCACCATGGTTTTGTATTGGCAACTCCCTTCTCCAGAAAGAAGGCTAAACATTCTTGATGCCTGGCTAAATTCTTTTTACATTATTAAACTGTAGCTCTGAGTCAGTATGAAGATATCTAAACTACACGTAGAGCCAAACAAGAGCTTCTTTGTGTCCTTACAAAAAGCCTTTTGGTTTACTAAACACAAGCAAGATGTACTCTCCTCATTTATCAGGATGTTTTGAGTCCCTTTTACTGCCTTTGTCCTTTCATCCCCAAGAGCCCCGCTCCTTCCAAAGCCAGAGCAAACAAACAGACTCCGCAGGGTGGGTGAGGCGAGGCCAGCCTGGCTCTCACTCTCCTGGGAGCTCCCAGCGGAAAAAGCACAAACTGCACCGCGGCACACTCTCCAGGGCTTTCTGAGCACACATTGCCCGAAACTCTGGTGCATTCGCTCTGGGCTCCACACTGAACCACTCCTGGTGTTTGCTAGTGAGAACTCAGGAGGTCTGGAATTTTAGATGCAAACTTTAAATAATGAAGGGCAAAACCAAAAATTATACTTGCTCGATCATTTTAAGTGACTTTGATACAGAACATCAGAATTCAAGATGTGGTGCTAATCTATACAACATAGATAGAAAGTTTTTAATATTTTCTGCTTAATATTGTGTTGTGGCTACATTCAGTACTCACTTAAATTTTAATGCTAACTTTAAGGTGTCTGAAATATTGAATATGTCTGTCTGATGAACCATACGCTTAATAACCATATAGATTTTTTCTTTTTATAATATTTTATCTATTTATTTTTAGAGAATGGGGAAAAGGAGGGAGAAAGAGAGTAACATTGATGCAAGAGAGAAACATTGATTGGTTGCCTCTTGCAGGTGCCCTGACTGGGGACTGAACCCACAACCCAGGCATATGCCCTGACTGGGAATCGAACCGGTGGCCTTTCTCTTTGCCAGCTGACACCCAACCAACTGAGCCACACCGGTCAGGGCAATACCTGTATAGTTTTTAAAAATGGTTGAAGAGGGTGAAAATTTCTAACTTGGCTCCTACCCCATCACTTCCAGGATTTTTAAATAGCTTTGAGGAGCTGCAGGCTGAGGAATGCGGCATCCTCAATGGGTGTGAAAATGGCCGCTGCGTGAGGGTGCAGGAAGGCTACACCTGCGACTGCTTCGACGGGTACCACCTGGATATGGCCAAGATGACCTGTGTCGGTAAGAAGGACGCGTCTTACGGGAAACAGTTCTCTTCCTGAGATCCCCGTGGTCAGATCTCACGCACTCAGGCACATGTAAGACAGGTTAGCCGAGTTCCGGTTGCAGAAGGGGAGGGAAGTTTTAACGGTGGATGGCAGTGGTGGTTGCACAACAGTGTGAATATACTGCGCTTAATTCCACTGGACTAGCCGCTTAAAAATGGTCAAAACGGTCAAGTTTAGGTTCTGTGTATTCCACAGTTTTTAAAAAATAGACTTGATAGCTCATTTAAGAATTCCTGTAGAATTCCTCACATGTGGAGAAAAGGCCAGAATGTTCTAGGGAATGACTTTGCCTCTTTTTGAAATTTTTTTGTATTTATCAGTTTGAGAGAGGGAGAAACATCAATTTGTTTTTCTATTTATTTATGCATTCATCGGTTGATTTTTGTATGTGCCCTGACTGGGGATTGAACCTGCAACCTCGGTGTATTGGGATTATGCTCTAACCAACTGAGCCACCTTACTAGGGCATGACTTTGCCTCTTTTAAATTCATCTTCTGACTGTGCAGCCAGTAATGTTTTCGCTGAATACCTGACACAAGCATAAGGGAATACAGATGTCTGTAAAAAATACAACTTATGTGGTAGTCATTCAGAAAAAGTTCCTTTTAAAACTCTCTCTCATTGCCTTCCCAATTATTTTTAAAAGAACAGTAAACACGCATTTATCCTTCTCCATGTGACCATGGAATGATCTTCCAGATTGTGTTCCAGGGCCCTTTGGCTTCTCTGCTAAAAGGCCTTGGGTTAAAGGGTTGGTTTTTTATTTTCCTGTTTTTTCACCCTATTTTTTATGGCTCTTCTCCCTCCTGCAGTGTCCTTCTCCCTCCTGCAGGGCCCTTGCCCTGTTAGTTTCGTTAGCCTTGATGTGTGGCGGGCCTGGCAAATGGAAACCTCGGTTATTACAGGTGTTTCAAGCGCATATGAGCCTTTCTTTCCTGTGGAAAGAAACCCGAGGCGGGAACGTCAGTCTTAAGAGCGGCTGCTCCAAAAGCTCTGGGCTCACTGCTTTGGTTCTTCCCTGGATTCCTCCTGACAAATCCAGCTGTTCTATACCTGTAGAAAGGAATTTAGGAATAGGGTAGTTTTTCTGGTTTTCTTGAGATTTGACTGTAAAATGTCAGGCTAACAAATTGTTCATGTTGTGTTAAATAACAGGGAAAGAATTCTAGAACTTCCCTGATAATCTGCGTTTGTAAGACTAGAAATTCTTATCTATCACGTGATTGAAACAGAGATTAGTGGGAAAGTTTCCAGAGTGGGGGTGTTGGAGGGGGAGAGAACAGCCCCGCTGTGTTCGGGCCAGACCCCTCGATGCCCCAGGTAAACCATCACTTCCGTTTGCTCACGGAGTGCATCAAAGCTTGTTTACTTGGGCTGTCCGGCTTCTTGCAGACGTGAACGAATGTGACGAGCTGAACAACCGGATGTCTCTCTGCAAGAACGCTAAGTGCATCAACACCGAGGGCTCCTACAAGTGTTTGTGTCTGCCAGGCTACGTGCCTTCCGACAGGCCGAACTACTGCACTCCGTCGGATGCCGCCCTGAGTCTAGAGAAAGACAGTGACCTGGAGTGAATGAATGTCCGCATAACTGAAGCCCGTACACTCTGCACTGTGTAAAGGAAAAGAGAGAAATGTATTATACTTGAGACATTGTACCTAACCCAGCATGCGGGGAGCAACGGGAACATCGCGGTATTGCATACTCTCGGAAGACGATGCGAGGATTCGGTGTGCGCCTGACTGGTGGAGCAGACCAAATGGACATTTCTCTGAAAAACCAGTATATATAGTCTGTTCATATGTAAAATTCAGTGGAAAAGAGGTGGAGCAGTGCTGTTATTTTAAACAGAAGTTTGTATTATTATGTTGTCTTGTTTTTTTTTTATTATTGCTTGATTAAATTTGGCATTTAAATAGTGGTGGAAATATTTTATATGATTTTCATTTTTTGGTTGTGCAGTTCCTTGGCTATTGTTTTTCTTTTCCCTCAGATTTTTTTTAAAGTCTCAAGTGCACAAGTCGTTGATAAAATATTGTTAAATTGTATTGTAAGTATTGTGACACAGGGTTATGCTATTCCTAGTCTGGAACATTTTTAAATTCAACTTGTCTGTCCTGTGGAGCAGATGAGCTTTGTTTCAAAACTTTTATACACATTTGGAGAAAAGTACTTTGTATTTACGGTGTATTGTCTGATCTTGATGTCCATCCGTAGCCAAGCTGCTGGCAGGTGTCGGTTGGTCCCTCTCCCACGCCGAAGTGGAAGCACCAGTGAGCACATGAGTGCCGAGGTGTGGGAAGTGCGCCCAGCAACATTGTGTGACAACTCGATGATCCCAGCATATTTACCATTGTATATGAAAGCAAAATAAATCACCATTTTTTTTAGAAAAAACTTCTACCTGAGAGTACTTGTCAATGAGTACATGTGTACAAGTTGTGTCTTCCCACCTGTATTCTTACCAGTGGTTCTCTATCAGTGTAGTGTCTTCTGCAGGCTCATTGTTAAATGTGTCAGATACAGTAAAGGACTGAGTTTTGTCCCCTCAAAATTCATATGTTGATATCCTAACCATGCAGCGCCTCAAAGCAGGGCTGTGTGTGGAGAGAGGGTCTTTAAAGAGGTACCTAGGGCTAAACAAGGTCATTGGGGCAGGCCCTAGTAGATGCGACAGGTGCCCTGATGAGACTGGAGTAGGACACACGCACGGGAAATGTCCTATGGAGACATGGGGAGAAGATGACCATCTGTAGGCCAAGGAGAGAGGCCTCCAGGATTGTAAGAAAATCAATTTGTTGCGTAAGCCTCCCAATCTGTGGTACTTCGTTGTGGAAGCCGTGGCAAGTTATTGAAGATATGTGTCTCAGGAAGAAGGAATGGTAACTTTCAAAGTTCCGCTCCCTGCTTAAGACACATCCACAGTCATACAATTGTTACACAACTTCGGTCGAATTTCAGAGTCCATTTTTTACTTAATAGAAACATCTGAATTTAAAAAAAAAATTAAAAACATATGTATGGGCATACTCAGCAGATAATCTCCCAGTTTACCATTTTCCTGAAAGACAGGTTTTTGGTTTTTAAAACCTGTCGAAGGCAGAGTAATGGCCTGTCACAGATGCCCGTGCCCCGATCTCCAGAGCCTGTGAGGATGTTGCCGTACGTGGCAAGCAGGGATCAAGGTTACAGGTGGAATGCGTGTTGCTAACGCACTAGCCACTAAATGTGTGGTACTTCAATGCAGCAGCAATAAAAAGTTAAAATAATACCCAAGCGTCATAAAATGTACCTGTCTTTTTCTCAACAATTTTCAATTAATGTTTATATATAGGAGAAACATTTTTGTATCCTCAAAATACTGTATTGGCAGAGTCTTGAGTTATATCCCAAATGCAATCACAGTTGGAATTGCCGCAGATGTTTAGAAAGCACTGTCGACAAGTGCATGTGCCTGGGGACCTCGCTGGGACGGAGAGTCCCACCGTGGACACTCTGCGTGACCAGCCCCAGCTCACGGGCTTGTCCTGAGTGTATTTCCACAGTGCAGCCATGTCACTCTAGCCCTGATTTTTACCTCGTGTTGTGTGAGTCCCCCCAAATAAAGCCAGTATGGAAAATTGTGACAAGGAAGCCACATGCAATTACAGTGGAAGAGAAGCTATTTCTGCACACAAAGCGACTTTGTAAACATCGTTGACAATCAGGAAGAGATGCTGTAAGCATCTTACATTCCAACATGTTTTTTTTTAATGTTTAATTGTATTATTAGGAAATTGATTAGGGGACCTTGGTTGAAGTGCATCATAAATTCAGTTATCATTTCCCCACAAAATGTTTGATTTTACACACCGCTGACATTAAGCAGGAGATACCTGTACATGTAATAAAAGTACAAAGCTTTAAGTGGAACTTCTTAGATTTTGCGTGTTTTGTTGCATAAATTTGGTTTCATGGCCCTGGAAAAAAGTTTTGTTTTTGTAATACATATACTTCTTTTAGTTCCTTTCTTTAAACTAAAGAAAGGAGTTCCTTCAGATGAATTATATGTATTACATATACATACGTAATTGTCCTCCAAACCCCAATGTTGGGGTTCTGTGGCAGTGGTCCTAATTGGCCATGAAGAGACAGATTCATAGTGCAGTGCGTTCTGGTCATTCATTATACTAATTATATGTAATCCATTATGCTGTTGCATGTATTTCCCAGCTGTCTGAGTAAGAGTCAGGTCTCTTTCTCTGTCCATCCACAAAACAGGTCTCTGTACTTTAAAATACCAATCATTAGTAACAGTCTATTCTTTTGTCATAATAATCAAGCATTGTTCCAAAAACACTGGACCTGGCTAACTGATGTAAGCCTATGCAATTTGAAGTCATGAGCTTGAAACCTGCCATGTTACCTGAAATGAGAACCAGGTACAAAGCCAGCAAACCAGACCCTTACTGTATATATTGAAGTTTTGCATAATTCCATCATTCATATTTCTCTAAAAAATGTTTATAAATTAAAAAGAATACTGTAATTTAGCTTTAGTATTCTCACACACAAAGGACTGACTGACTCCAAAACGTACTTGAATTGTTCTGGTAAATGTTAATGACCCAATGTTGGCAGAAAGCACAAATCTGGTATGTTTGCAAATGAGGTTCATGGACATTTCTTTTGGGTCAATAGTGGAAGAAAATAGTTACCACACATGCCAATACTGTATGTCCCTGCTTGTGGGGACAAACCATAACCGTGAATTTAGGAATTATTCTAATAACTGGCAACATTGAAAATACTATAATTCTAATACTCTAACTTTCCAATGAGGTTGATTTAAGTCTATACTAAAGTACCTTTGATTTACTGCTCAAATCTGTGGTAAGAAGAAGAAAACAAAGATGGCTGTCACAGCTTAGCATGAACGTCACAGCTCATCGCAATTATGAGGAAAAACAGGAATCAGGGAAAGAAACTGCAAATGCAGGCATAATTCACAGTCCACTAACACAGAAGACACTTCTCAGGGAAAAGGGCTCCCTAATTTTGGGATCAAACAGTGGCAGTCATCACAGGGATGTGCGTGGCCTGAGCCAGCTTCCACCTGTCTTTGAGTGTGTGGGACTGCTGTCTCTGGTGGGACGCAAACTCGCCCGGAGGAAATGGCTGCGTCCCTCATTCTCAGAGCCTTCTCTGCCTCCTCACTACTCTAGACCAGTGCCTGTTCGTAGACCTTTCCGTGATGATGGGAAGGTTCAATATGTGCCAGTCTACTGTCTTCTTACTTGTCCCAGGCATTGTGCTTGACGCTGGGACTATGGAGATGAAGAACTTTTAGCATCTGACCCACACCTGACTCAGAAGACAGAGGTGACTTCAACTAACATACCACAATGAGGTAAGTCACCCAGGGGAAGCTAGGACTGTACAGGTCTTCAATTTTACCAGGAAAAGGGAAAGAAAGCAGCAGCACAGCCACTTTCCCTGTCCCGTCCTTTTTGTCAAAGAATGTGCGCCTGGTCTTACACAAAGAGCACCGGACTTGGCATCTTAGAACGCCTGCCTTAGTCCTCATTTCTGGCTCTTCTGCAGCTTGCATTAAGGCCTGGAAAAAGTCTATATCTCTTGTCACTGTTTTCTCATCATTAAGTGAACTCTGACGTCCCTGCTATGTCAAGGGTTATCTAATTATTTGATTTCCTCCTCCTAAACTTGTATTCTCTCTCCCAAACTGATTTCTTAATCCTGTGAACTGTGACCACATAAATGATCACTACTTTAGGATGGCTCAACAAAGCTCTTTGACGGCATAGCCAGTCTCTGGAAAGATCTCTGGAAGCAGGGTGTTTCTAAGTTCCACAGATGCATGAGAACAGAGCAACTGCTCTAACAGTCCATGGGCATCCTGCACATATGAGCTTCAACATTTTATAAGAGCTTGGCATGAAATAGATCATTAGATTCTAAATCTAATAGCATCATGATGAGAGATTTCAAGTTTACATTTGCCAATATGAAAAAGGAAGAGCTTCTTTACATACAATTTCGAATGTCTTATGTTTCTAAATAAGTTTAATTTTTAAATGTTAATTGTTCAAGTACAGTTTTCTGCCTTTTACTCCCATCCCAGCCCACCCCTCAGCCCTCCCCTCCTCCCTTCCATTGCCAACCCACCCCCCCCTTGTTATTGTCTGCGTGTCCTTTATACTTATTCCTGCAAACCCTTCCGCTTTTCTCCTGAAATTCCCTCCCCTCTCCCCTCTGGTCACTGTCTGCCTGTTCTCAATTTCATTGTCTTTGGTTATATTTTTCTTGTTTCTTTGTTTTGTTGTTTAGGTTCCTGTCAAAGTATGGTATTTGGTATTTGTCTTTCACTGCCTGGCTTGTTTCGCTTAGCATAATGCTTTCCAGCTCCATCCACGCTGTTGCAAAGGGTAGGAGCTCCTTCTTTCTTTCTGCTGCATAGAATTCCATTGTGTAAATGTACCATAGTTTTTTGATCCATTCATTTACTGATGACTTGGACACTTTTCCAAATAAGTTTTACAAGATTCAAAAGTTTTAGCCATCTATTTGTGCATCTATTTGTGCTATATTTTACTGATGCTATTTAAGAATCTGAGAGATGTATAGAAATACAAGTGACTTTTATGAATTGATCAGAACCATGCTAAACTGTCTTCTTAATATGAACAATTTATCCTTAGATTACTTTGAGATTTTATTGTCTTCTCTGAATGAGTTTTGCTTCTTCCTTTCCAGTCTTCATATTTTTCAATTTCTCATCTACTGAACTAGTAAAGACCTCTAATATAATATTGAATTGTAGCATGGTGATAGCAGGCATCTTGATTATAAAGAAAATCCTTTTATCACGATGATATTGAATACGATGCATGCTTATGTGTTTTTATGTGTGCCTTTTATCTGGTGAAGAATGCTCCTTCCCATTCCTAATTTGCTAAGGACGCTTAGTATGAATATAAATGTTAAACTATGAATATAAATGTTACTGAATTATTTTGCAGCCAAAGAGAAATTTCCTCTTGGTTGTGTTGCTTACAGGAACAATCCTCTAGCTTTTGTGGGTGGCGGTGCATGTGGAGAGAGCACTATCAAGCCTGCAGTGTGTTGTGCTGAGTTGCCACCAGGAGGTGTCTGCCTGGCGACCCCCACGGGTTGCAGCCGCCCCTCTGTGCCCTGTGCATCTTTGCGCCTACCCATGTGGTTCCCACATCCCACTCCTGGTACTTTGTGTCTCAGATGAAGAGGGTGAAGAAATCTACAGTCAAAACTGTCTACTGTGGGCAAGTGTTTGAGAAATCCCCGTTCCAGGGAAGAACTTTGGCGTCTGGCTGCGCTACGACTCCCACAGAGGCACCTGCAACATGTACCCGGGGTGTCAC